ACTTTTTTCTTTTTTTTTTTAGTGTACGTTCACCATTCTTTGTTTTCTTCCCCTTTCCATATTTGTGTCTAAATCTTCTTCAGTGACTCAGCTTAGGAGGGCTAAACACAACTTGGAAAAGAAAGTGTCAAAATCCTTTTAAAAGTCATGTCAAGGTCAATGTAAAATAACGCATAGGGTGCCTAGCGGTTTATTTGCCTTTTTGTCACTCCCTATTTTGCAGTGTTTGCCGTTGTAGTTTGCTGAATAAAGTTGGCTTTAAATTCATCCTAAGAGTCTCACTTGTAGTGGGGTGCATAGAGGAAGAAATACATAAGCTGGGTGTTGTCTTGTTCATGAGTTGCCCCACTGAGTCCTGAAGCATTTGGCAGTCTTCCTTATGTAATTAAATTATCTCCCATGAATTTCATCTTCCTGCTGCACAGAGAGATTCTCCATCAGAGAAACTCCCCATTCCATTTGAATTTAGTGTCAGTCTTCTCAGCTCTTGGCTTATGAAGTCATAGGACCAAAGAACTCCTTTCCAAAGAGGGGAAAGTGAAATATTTCTTTATATCTAGAACTTGGACTCTTTTGATAGTTATGATATTCAGCTTGATAAATAATTAAAAATGTAATTCAAATAGCTTTACTTGAAAGGAAGAATAAATTTATGTCAATATAATGGCAGAGATAGCTGTTGTTACACTGTATATCAGTATAATTAGTTTAATTATAACTAAGCTACAGTTGCATTAATTATATTTTAACCTTGATTTTTTTATATTGTTAATTGAGCATTAGCATGCACTGAATTTAATGTGCAGTTAAGAGTACAATGGAATGTCTAACTACTTATGCAATTTGTAAATTTATATTTCATTTTGACTCATTAATGGAATTTATATCTCTACAGAAGCCATTGTAAGTACCATATATATCACTGCTTTTATTTTAACTGTATTCCAAAACTGCAGAAAAAGCATACAAAAGACAAGCAAAGTGCACAGTGGAGTCAATAGTGAAACAAATTTTCCAAAAACAGCCATAAGGCTGATATGAAGGGTACTAAGTTGTCTCTGGAGCTTGAAATTGAGGTGTACCTTAGAACATTAACCCACAGCTACCTGTAAGCTATGTCGCTGGTAAACACTAACAAATTACAACCAAATCAAGTCTTTGCAATAACTAGCCTAGCCTTCTGGAAACTACAAGTCCAGTTCAGGTGGGAGAAGGCAACAGATTTTGTCCAAGATCATTCTCAGTTGTTCCAGTGTTTTTGTTTCTTTTCAGTGCCCAGCAAGGGCTTTCTGACTGGGATGCCCCCAGCCACCCCAATGTAGCCTGCAGGGCTGGAATCAGATTTGAGGGTTTTTTTTCAACGCATGAAAGAAATGGATTGATGTGAAAGGCCTTAATTGTGATCAGTGGAGGAACAACTTTGAATGAAAACTTTTATTCACTCGGAGTTTAGTTTATTATCCCCCGTATCTTGTAAGCCTGGCAAGTTTCTTTCATCTGTAAAATGAGCACTTCAAAATTATGGAAGCCTCCTTGAATCCTGGATTTTTTTTTCAGGGTGATTTGCAGCAAAGTATCATAAATCTCCCTGTATAAATGGAGACCAAAACTCTTAGAAAGGGATGGAATGCAATATCTTTCATGCTTCGTGTGCTAGACTGTACTGGTTTTCTTGAGGATGCCATACATTTTATTGACCTTTTCCAAAAGTATACTAGAAATGTAATTTTGTAACTTTATACTTTTGTTTAACATATAAAGTTTTCTGGACGTGTTCAATTCTTTTTTTTCTTTTGCAGCTGTTCCACTCTAAAGGAAAAAATAAATAATAAGTGAAAGTTTGAGCATAGCAATATAGTCTAAAAATGAAGTCTTCACTAGGAATGAGAAAGCTCATGTTCCATGTTAGTTCTATGTTTTAACTTGATCAGGATACATAACCAAAATTACTAACAGAATTTAAAAATTATTACTTAATGTTATTATAATGATACAGAAAGTCCTGTGTTAGTTTAAAAGTCTGGGTTCCTGCCTATATCTTTTAGATATTACACTAGAACTGATTGTGTCTACTGTACTATGGACAAAAACTCTGACAGGTTGAGTGAGGGGTTGGAATCTGTACTTACATGTGCGTTGTCTCTTTATGTATAAAACAAGATGATTTTTTAATTCCTGTATATCCTGTTGATAATATGAATGGCCTAATTAGCAATGCTATCATGTTTATAATAACAGGGCAGAAAACAAAGTTTTCCCTAGCTTGAGAAAAAACATATCAGCATTTTGCTGCACGCTACTCTATATTTCAGAAAATACTAAAAAATATCTTTCCAATTTGATTCTGATAACATAATTTATGAAGTTGTTTGTTAAAGAAGAAGAGGATTATAATTAGTTTAATTAATGACGACAGATTTTTTTTTTTTTTGTAAAGGGGGAAAAAAGCATTTACAGTATGTCATTTAGTGAAAAGGATTTCTGGTATCATGCCATCACTACATGAAACGTTCATTTCATTTAGACCCATGAAAATGAAATCTGAGAGATTAACTGAATTTCAAGGAAAATAAATTTCCAGAGATGAAGGCAGTTTTCTGTTGTAAAATATGTATTATAATTAAAAATTATGCTGTTTTTTTTCTGTCATTTATTCTTTCACTATTCTGAAAAAGCTTAGGACCTGGCTGAACAAAACTGAAGGGATGATCTCCACTTTTTTGATTTGGAAATCTACTGAGTGATATTGCTGAGGAAAGAATAGGCATTGTACTATACATACAAGTATCAATACATCAAGTGTCAATAAAGGACCAGAATCTTCATATGGCATTTTTTTTTTCCTTCTGAACAGATTGTTTTCTGCTTTGACAGATACAGAGAAGGAAAAAAATTAGGTCCATGAGCTCTTTAGTGAATCCATTAGAATCTCTGTATTAATGGGAACTCTTTAAGTCTTCAAGGTCAGAACTAATGGATAAAGTTGCAAGATAAGGACCAAACTGAGTAAGAATATTAAATCATCCATTCTTACTGTAGTCTTCCTTTATGAAAGCTAAAGGTCAGCGGGTGGCATATTGTTCATCTAAGGTTGTGTGTTTTACAGGAGGCACAACACTAAAATCACATCTGTACAATTACCACTGGGGACACTAATGTGTTTTTATTTCCTCATGCAAACGAAGTAACTATTGTCTAATATAGTTGTATCTAAAGAACATTAGATGTTTGTTATTTTTTTGCAGCCGTGCATACTTATTTTTTGTTCATCATGGTATGGACCCATTCCAGACTTGATGTATCTATCCGGCTACAGGGCTCATGCTGAGTAAATGTTCCTAGAATTACCCCTGAGTGAGATTTGTTCTTTTGTGACTGAACTTGGCATATTACCAAAAGTCCAGTCTCTTGTTTCTCCAAAGACAGCAGCTGCACCAAAAGGAAACCTTGGTAGTATGCCTGAATCTTCTTAGTAAAACAAACCTCAGACACGTCTCTGTGTTCAGCAGCATCTAGATAGAATTTCACTGTCGATAGTATTTCACTATGTTATAGTTGATTAAATAAGAAATCCACTACTTCTGACAGCTTATGTAAAATATCGATGTTAATCAATCCATATCTTATGGTAAAGATGACCTTAAAAATAATTTAATTTGATTTAGGTATGGCTGGAAACTGAGCTGGTAAAAATTCGATATAAGCTTCATTTAAAATAACCTATAAGTTGGTATAAATTAATGAGGAAGTACATTTCTGATATTCTCTTTCCCCTATCACCCCTTTTCATTTTTTTGCTAAATCTTTGTCTAGAGAGATGTCTACAGGCAGTTAACTTCCTTGGCACCATCCAAACCTACAAAGACACTAAAATTTTATATCTTTGCTGTTAAGAACAAAGGACCATTCTAATTAAACCAGCAAGGTTTGTCATAATCATGATAATTTATCTTTTGATAGCATTAAAATATATTTTGATGCTGTGGTTCATTACGTAAAATCGAGAATTTGTGTTTTCTTTTTCTCCCCAGTCTCCCAAATCTTGTTAACAGGAGATACATATTTATATTTTCACTAGTGCTGGTATTTGTAGATCCTGCTTTTAGTATGTTTACTTTTTGTCTAAATGATAAATCATATATTTAGTTCTCTTAACCAGAAATGCAGAAAACCACTAGGGGGAAAACTGTTCTGTTACTCAGAACCTTTTAAAAACTTTTTTCTTTCAAAGCTCAGATTTTTTTTTATTATTATTAAGTATCTTAATTTTGACAGGTCTTTTCTGTACATGTAAATTAGCATCACTGAATGTTGAATTAGATGTTGGAATAAATTGGATAGATTTAGTGTCATTATGGGTAATGAGACACCCTTGCAATCAAGCTTGCTTCTTAGCAATGAATGTAATTTCAAGTAACGCTGTACAGCTATAAAGTGATGGCCAAAGTCTCTTAAATCAGAATAATTTTATATGTTCTTCCTGTATTATCTTTTAACCTGCTCGACTTTAATATTCTGTGTTTTGTTTTACTCTTGCTTAGATAATGCACGGGTGTGTATGTGTGTGCACAGACATACAAAGAACACACAGCAACATTTCCCTCTCTGTCTCTCTCAACTACTGCCCCTTTAATATTGAATGTGATGCATGCAGTATGGCTTTGAAATACATCTTCTTAGAGCAGGGTCTACCAAAGAGATGAGTGAGGTAAACCTGGTAAGAATTGATTCTCATAGATCTGTCCTTGATCTGTTCACCTCGACACACACCTCGTTAGAACAGTGACGCGTGGGTGGTAGCACTAAACTGAAAGGGACAAAAAGCATGCATTGCATGTGGGTGGTGCTATGGTAAGGGATCATAGCAAAGAGATTCAAACTCATTTACCTATGGAGTTGAGGGTAAGTGTGTCCATCTTGAAGACTGTATCCCAAGGGTGAAACCCAGGGCTGTGGGTTTTTTGAATAACATTCAAGTCTTTCGCTTTTTCTTTAAACAGGTCTGAAATGGATATACTATCTGCTAGCTCTGAAGGCATTCTCATTGGCTATTGTCCACAGCAAGATGCCCTGGATGAACTTTTAACGGGCTGGGAGCATCTTCATTATTACTGCACACTGCGAGGAATTCCAAAACAGGATATCCGTAAGGTAACTATCCAGGATAGATTTGCAGGGGGAGCTGAAGCCAGGTTGGGCTGTGGAGCTTATAAAACAATTGTATTTTTTTTTTTACATGAGAGAATATCTAATATTTCATCTTAACAGCTTTTGTAATACAATTTGTCATTACTACTACTTTATTTAAACCATATGGATTTTTTTCTGTCATATATATACACCAATTCAAAACACAATAATATAACTGAGGATAGTAAAATAACACTAGTTCAAACGAAATCTCAGGCACAAAAACTCTGAAGGAAATTAGATCTATGAATGCTTCAAAACCTCCATTATCACACAGAACTGGGAGGGAACACCACAAGTTCTACGTCATGCACCTATGAAAAACTCTTTTCTTCAGAGATGGGATTAAACTCTGAGGGAATTAAAATCTGTTGAATGATTATACAAATAAACTAAATGTCTGGGTGCTGAGATGACAGCTGTTAAGGACTCTGCTAGTCAATGTCTTAAACTTCACAAGATAATGGCTGCATTCCACGTGCCTGCTGGGAGCAGTCCCTAAAATGCTGCCATACCAGGCGTAGGGCTGTCCAAGGAGAAGAGGCCAAAGCCATGTCAGAAAATGCTTGAAGAGCTTACTAGCATAAATAATGACAATATATATGAGAATATCACTGAGAGCTTTTGAATTTATGGATGAAGATGTAGCTGTGCTGACCAGCAAACAGTGCTCTACTTTGGTAATGAGGCGAGCAGTCAGCCAATATCAGAAACGAATTATGAAGTTAATGTGGGGTTGTTTTTTTTTTTTTTCCTATCTCTGCAGACAGAAGTGTTGTCTGATCTGACCTGGACTTGAGCAGCTCAGTCTCTTGTGCTTAATTGTTTTTCTGTCAACTTGAGAAATCTGGAGTGTGAAATGAAATCAGTGTCCTTCCTGCTGTATAGATTGGTCCCATGTAGTTGCTTTGGCTCTAAGATGTTCCTGTAACCTCCAGAATGGTGCCTGTTGTCTTCTTTTTCCTTCTCCAGAAGCAAAACTGCATGTAACTGAAATATCTTTTTTTTTCTACCTACCCAGCATTTTCCTGGCCACTGCCTCAGGGTCCACTAAGTGGTTTACAGTCAGTTCCTGGTCTGTATGTGAGAGGGCCACCTTCTGGTTCTCTTTTTTCTGGCACTTTTTTTTTACCCAGCAGCGAGGTACTATTCCAGAAAAGGGTATGAATCAGGAATTAAAATCTGTTGAATGATTATACAAATAAACTAAATGTCTGGGTGCTGAGATGACAGCTGTTAAGGACTCTGCTAGTCAATGTCTTAAACTTCACAAGATAATGGCTGCATTCCACGTGCCTGCTGGGAGCAGTCCCTAAAATGCTGCCATACCAGGCGTAGGGCTGTCCAAGGAGAAGAGGCCAAAGCCATGTCAGAAAATGCTTGAAGAGCTTACTAGCATAAATAATGACAATATATATGAGAATATCACTGAGAGCTTTTGAATTTATGGATGAAGATGTAGCTGTGCTGACCAGCAAACAGTGCTCTACTTTGGTAATGAGGCGAGCAGTCAGCCAATACCAGAAACGAATTATGAAGTTAATGTGGGGTTGTTTTTTTTTTTTTCCTATCTCTGCAGACAGAAGTGTTGTCTGATCTGACCTGGACTTGAGCAGCTCAGTCTCTTGTGCTTAATTGTTTTTCTGTCAACTTGAGAAATCTGGAGTGTGAAATGAAATCAGTGTCCTTCCTGCTGTATAGATTGGTCCCATGTAGTTGCTTTGGCTCTAAGATGTTCCTGTAACCTCCAGAATGGTGCCTGTTGTCTTCTTTTTCCTTCTCCAGAAGCAAAACTGCATGTAACTGAAATATCTTTTTTTTTCTACCTACCCAGCATTTTCCTGGCCACTGCCTCAGGGTCCACTAAGTGGTTTACAGTCAGTTCCTGGTCTGTATGTGAGAGGGCCACCTTCTGGTTCTCTTTTTTCTGGCACTTTTTTTTTACCCAGCAGCGAGGTACTATTCCAGAAAAGGGTATGAATCCTACAGTGGGACATTGAGTATTCATAAACAACTGCCATCATGCCCCAATAATAGCATCAGGACAGTCAATATTTCTAATTTTTACTCTCTCAAGCTAATCATTTGGGTGTTTCTAGATGAGAGACTGAGGGGAAATAAAAGATTCTTACAAGTCTTTGCCCCTTCTTTTGGGCAGTATCTTGCCTGGCTGGACTTTTAACTGACTGTTGTAACAGTACATTTCTTGCAGGCTGCTCAGAAATCACTGGATTTCACTGCTCAGAAATCATCATACATTCTTTTATTTAGTTGTTTGCTCTTCATAATTCATCAGTGGTAGTTTTTGCTTCTGAGTACCAGCAGAGTACTGAAAACTTGGAATATGTTTCCCTTATCTAAAGGAAACATATTAAGCGATAACTTTTATTGCACTAAGCCCCTCAACTATAATTACTTTTTTTCTCAATAAAATAACAACTCCTCTCTAAGAGTTGGGCTAAAAGCTTTGTAGTCATTCAAAAGGATGCTGTTAAATATCCATACATCTTACATACGTTATTGAATGTTTTTGGTCCTAAGTGTAATTTAAAACAGGAACCAAAGATTGATTGTTTAATCATTCAGCAGTGCTCTTAAAGTCCTCTAAACATGGCTTTTAAGCTTTTCCATCTTATCATTTTCATAAGAAAAGACAATATATAATTGTAATGTATATGTCCAAATGGTACACCATGTACTATAAATGAAGCGGTTTTTAAGACACCCTAAAAAGAATGAAAATTTCAGAAGCACTTGAATGACAGCAGTATATAGTTTTAATTAAATTTCATGGGACTCACTTAACTTGCATACTTTGTGTCATATACATAGAGTATTACTCTCAGCAAGCTCACTTCAGATTATAGAGTAAGCATCATCCCCATTTGTGAATAGGCTGAAGCACATAGACCCAGGTGGGTGGTGATCCTTGGAGAGAGAAATGGAGTAGGAATGATCCCATAATGATAAGGACTCTTACCCATAGTTAAAATAATTGCCTCAGACTTATTGAAAAGTTACTTTTATAACTGACTTGAATTTGCCAAGAGGGGTGCTGGTGCATCTGATGAGAGCTGTGTAGGGCTTTTAGTGCTCTTTCTGAATCCTGGAGTCACAGACTCTTAGCTATTATTTTATTTTAGTACTCACAGGTTTGAGGAAAAGCTATTCAGGTGGCACTGAAGGTGACACCTTCTTATTGGTAACACCTCATCTGCAGACAACTGGAGAAAGCATGATTGAGAAGTGTGAACTGATCCATGCATTGCAATGGGCTGTTAATGCTTTAATCTTACGCTCTGCACAAGCCCTGTCAACACCAGGTAGAAGAGGTGTGTGTGTGTGTGTGTGTGCATGAATCCTGCTGTCACTGTTTGATTTGTGACTCCTTCAGGTCATTTGGCTCCAGCAGCAACTGTTTTGGAGGATGGGAGCAGGACCAGGACCTGTGCAGAAGCTTGAGAATGGAGAGATCTGTGGTGTGCTTAGGGACCTGGATTTCATCAGTAAACTGTCCCATGGGGCACTGAGCTTTTCTTGGGTGCCCGGGAAATTTTCCAGATTGTGATGATCAGGACGACACCAACAGATTTCTGTGCCGTGCTGCAGGGTGTCTCTCTGCATGTGTAAATGAACACTACTGCATGTGCTGTCTCCTGTCTCTACTTGGGGAAGAGCCATAAGGGTAACCTGGCTTTGTACACTTTCTCTGTAGATAATGTGAGAGTACTGCTCTCTCTCTAATATCTGGTATTCACAAAACCCATTTCAAATGCAGAAGTATTTAAGAATATATTTAAGAATAATTGGTGTGCCTAAGAGATTCCACTTTATGTTCGGATCCAGCTATTCCCTGGGCAGTTCCCACAACTACTGCAACAGCAGTTCTCAAGATCCTTTGGGGGGCAGTTCCTCAGACGGTGAGGCAATTCACATATGGGTCCTGCTTCAAGTGAATCAAAATCAATTCTGCATTATTTGGAGATGAGTTATGTTACTGTGGTGCACTGGGAGAAGATAAATGTTAATCTTCTGATTATCCTGGACCTTGGGTGATGTAGGTGTAGGTTTAGACTATACTTTATAGGTAGCCTTTTGTGCCTTAGTTTCACATTTGTGATACAGAGACTGTTCTTCCTTTCAGTTGTCCTAATTTTTTGTGTGAATAGATTGCAGAGCAGACTTTGTTGCCATATGCTTGCAATCATGGCACCAAAGGGCTCCTGCAAATAATATTTAGCTACTCTGGTTTACCTTCATCAAAAACTGAAATGTAGCTATCCCAGAGGAAAACAAATGTTTTTGTCAGTGGGCCCTTCTGACTCTGTGGCGTTGAACAGCTGCTGTGTTTCAACTCAGAAATGGCTGGTGCCTGGAGAAAAGTGTGCATTTTAGTTGCCTATAAAGAAAATAAGGCCTGGGAATGCTTTGGAATAGCAGCTGTATGGAAATGTAGGCTGTTATTTTCTCATTCCCTCCTGCCTACGATACGGCGCTCCAAGCTTGCCTCTGAATGTTTACCAGCAAGTGTTTATACTAATACACACACACACACATTCTAGAGAACACAGGGTTTTCATGTGGAAAGCAACATGCGTTCACTTTGTTTTTTAATAAATTGGCAAGCAGGCAGGTGACTTGCAGGATGTGTTGCTGCTAAAGTAATCTATTGAAGCACTAACTTCAAGGATCAAATCCTTTGCTAGACAGATTTATCAACAGCAGGAGTTAAGTGCCTGACATAAAGTTGAGTGCACTTAATGTTCCAAAACAGTAATTAACTGAATGGGAAAGGAGGAGAAAAATGGGTCATTTGCTATCAATGTTAAGCTTCATGCCATGTGAAGATTTACTTTACTTCCTAAATCTGCTCTGAAAGTTTCTCTTTCTGCAAAACTGGAAAAGTTAGATAGAGTAGAACTTTTAGGCTATTTAGACAGATACTAATTTAACATAGTGTTTTAAATTCTTATTTTTATTTCTTTAATATATCAAGTTTCAATATCTCAATTTGTTACAAAAGACAGCATGCAGCTTATTAAAAAGTACAGTAATGCAACATTTAATGACATCTCTCATTTGCATTAAAACTTGTGTTACAAAACTCAAAACAAGCTTCATCAGGCCTTCAGAAGCAACTTCTTGGAATGTCAGTACAATTTCTTTTTATATTAACTCTCCAGGGAGATTTTTACACTGAGTGGAATCTTATTGTCTTCCTTACATGTTACTATAACTCCTGGAAATGGGAATTTGTAAATTAATTTATTCTTTGCATGCTTTGTTTTGGACCCCAAGCAGAATTAATGTGTACAGTGTTATAAGATTCTGGGATAAATAACTATTTCCCCTAGAAATTTTACCATGAATACATGCTTTCCTAATGTAAGAAATCTAATAACTCTGCGTTTACTCTGAAGCAGAATGAATACTGATTGGTGTGGAACTAATGAATGATTGTTATTTAGGATGTTTAAACCACACTGCATTCGTTTTCTCAATCTGACACTTTGAACAACTATTTTGGAAGTGTGTAGTTATTTTTCAGATGACTCTAAATTGTCCCATTCTTATTATCATTTTCACTAGGTATGATACACATTTTCAGTATTAGTCAGGTTTGCTTTATGAGGGTTTGTTCAAAATAAAATAGCAAGAAGTTATAGATTGGTTTTATTTTGTCAGAAATGATGCAGAATTAATACACTGATGCATATACCCTTTCAAGTCAGGATACACATGCTATTACATTTCTAGTCTTTTAATAGATTCACCAACTCCAGGTTTTTATGGAAGACATACTAACTGAGAAATCTCAGTACCACTTCATTTTTTACTTGAATATTAATGTTAATTTTCAAAGAGAGTGGAAAATCATTACCATTAGTAGTTACATAATTAGCACTTACTGCTTTTCAGGGAGGTAGATGTGCCTCTTGGTTTCCTGGTGGATAGAAGACACCACACCTACTTTAACCATTAATCCCACAAATATTAAGGTGTGCAGAAATTCAAGTTACCTTACTACCTCTTCTGGAATGAAGTTAGTCTTTAAGAAATGCACAAAGCATTGGAGGATTTGGTTTAGATTTTGCAGGTTGAAGGGCTCATTCCTGTGCCTATTCCGAAGTTAGGGAAACTAGTCCAAATTAATTTGGGGAAAAAGAACTTTTGCTAAAGGTGTTAGAATTGAAGAGGGGAAAGTACATAATTTTAAGGAATATTAGAAAACAGGGAAATTGTTATCTGATAGATGTAAAGTCTGTTATAATCCAGATTTGCGGAGAGGTGGAAAGGAAGGAAAGAGTTTAAATACATTAGTGCAGCCATGAGTAGATGTAAACCACCTTTATGGTTCAAATGCACTCACAATGCATATAACTCTGTGTCTTTTAATTTGGTCTCAATGTTACCTACTTGCTAAATAAATTGATGTATCTCCTCACTCTTCACTGCTAAAAGTAATTGAAACCAGAAATAGAACATCATGATGAATATGACAAGGAGGGAGAGAAAGTGCTTTGTATATATCTCACATTTACCAAAGGAAGGAAGCCATTAGAATTGTAAATCTCTTGCATAATTGTGTGTATCTGAAGATTTGTCACATGTTCAATTCTGAATTTCATTTAAAGTATTTTAATAGGGATTTTAATTTTTACTTTATAGTATACTATAAAACAGCCCACAGGATACTGCTGGTAATACAGATGAAGTTATAATGGAGATGTATATGTTTCTCCACAATATACCTAATACATAATATTTCTAATTTAATTCAAATGGCATTTTTGTTCCTGTTTAGGTCAAATTGATGAAGCTGAGACTTTTTATTACTGTAAATCTTATGATATACATTAAAGAAAATACAAAGAGGTTTGGGGTTATTTCTTGAAAGAAGAATGAGCTCTGTGTTCTTATATTCACTGAAGCAGGCGCTGCAGTGCTTCTTTGAAGTGTAAGGGTTGAGGAGGATAGCAGGAATAAGAGACTTTCTAGATGCAGCTGGGAAATCATTAGGAATAAGAAACCTGGCTAATCCTTCTACCTTTATGTTTCTGATGTGGTTCAGCTCCAAGTCTGCTGTGATTTGATACATTTTGCACCAAAGAAGCGTATCTAGATATTAAGCCAGATTGTGGTGTGCACTGCAATGATCTGAAAGGTTTATCTTGGAAGCTCTGCACACTCAAGGCAGCAGCAGCTACATCTAAAATTCTCTGGCACTAGTATTTGAGGGACCCTTGTACCTTAGCACTGTCTCTGTCGGGTAAAGAAGAAAGGCCAGATAGAACAGCATGAACGTTGCCTCCAGCTACGCTCATGTGCCTGCCCAGCTTACTCAGATCACACATACTAATTTAAGCAATTTCAACCAAACCAGCTAGGGTCAACTTACCCTTCTCAGTTATTAGGAAGTTATATTAATTTAACCATAAGTTACCTTTTGTCTTTAAGAAAGTCTAAATCCTTGACCTGTGACTTGCTTTTCTGCCATTTCCATCTTTTTGTAGCTGATGTAGAATTTTGTCTCCTGAATATTCTATTATTAAAATGTTTGATTAAATAAATAATGCAGAACAAGGTGAAACAAGGAACATTTTAGATCATTGACCCAACAGCACAAAATCAATGAGAATGAAAATGACTGTTACAAACAATGACATAGCCAAATTTTCTATATAAGAAATCCTGATCCTTTGTGGAGAACTAAGGAGTCCTGGAGCAGCTTTTTGCATGTGTCTGGGATTCAGAAGTAATAATATGCAGCAAATGGGGGTAAATAAGGGAATAACATCTACATTTGCTTAATATGCATGAACAGAGTGTTCTTTCAATTTAAGCACAAACACTACTGAATTTAACTCATCTTTGCTGGCCTTGAAATTTCTAAACCACAGGTTGCAGAGGATCTCGTTAACCGGTTACACCTCAATGCCCATGCTGACAAACTGGTGAGAACATACAGTGCTGGCACAAAGAGGAAGCTCTCTACTGCTGTGGCTTTAGTTGGTAAACCCCAAATACTTTTACTGGTGAGTAAATGTAATACTGTGCTTATGATAAATGGGTTACATTGAATTTTGTTGTCTCCTATGTTGGTCTAAGGAAAATCAAATAGTTTCCTGATAAGATGGGGAGTAATTGGTCCACAGATATACAACTGTCCTCTTTGTTCTGCTGTACAAGAACTTCTTATTTTATTCTCCAGTGCTCACAAAAGTAAAAAGTAAAGTTGGTTTTTCTTTCTCCCCCCCCTCCCCCCGCCTTGGAGTAGTTGGGTGAGCAGGAAAAAAAAAAAGGGCCCCTAAACACACAGAAGTGCAATTGTAGCATTCCATGGGCCAATTAGATATGTAATATTTAAAAAAAAATATTTCTTTATGTGGAAGAAGAAAAAATATTATAAAATATATTAATGCTTTATGTATTCTCAACTTTCTATATAATATGAGAAAAATATATATGAACAATTCTACTGGCTTCCTTAAGAAGGAAGATTCTTATTTTGATTTGTAATTTGTAGCTGATGTTATTATTGACTCATCTTTTTCAGCATATTCATATTACTTGCTATGTCATACTTCATATATCTGGCTAGTTCTTATATTTTTGTTGGATTCACAAATGACACAGAGTAATAAATGATATTAATTTGAATTATTTATCACATGTTGTTTTAGTGCTTACATCCTACTGCTCATTTTTGCCTGAAACTGACCTTTCCAGTGTAAACTGTCTTTTGTATTGAAGAGCAGGGAATTATAGAGCTCTGGTAACTGCATCATTATGACACCAAATTCTCTTTCTTGTCATTGCCCATTGTTTCACTGAAGAAGACTGAACATCCCTTTCTTAAGCCTTGGCTGGGAACAGCTAAACCAGTTCAGTAGTGAAATAAACCTTTTGGAACTGTCGGAGGAAGGGAAGAAGAAATGGCTTCCAAGACCTTGGGGGGCAACCATTGCTTCTAGTAATAGATTGCAGGCTAAGTAGAACCAGATAAAACTGGTGTTCTCACAGGGCTTATGTTTCAGAAGATCAGACACATTTTGCTGCTTCTAACTTCCTGTTATTGCCTCAATTCTGAGCTGAATTATATTATTTACATTTTATGCTTAAACTGACCCTGGTTCAGTTAGTAAACGGGAGGAGGTAATCTTAAATCAGTGCTTTTTCCTAATCTTAGAAAAGGCTCCAACTGCTTTTTAATGCCTTTATGACAGCATGCTACTGCAAGTATCCATTTCAACCTACTTCTTGCTGCAGGGCACAGACTATTGCATATGTAATGACAAGAGGAAAAAGTGATATCTAAACATGTCAAATGCTTTAAAACATTTCACTGGCTTTAGAAAGCAAGCAGATTTTAAAGAAGATATTCAGTATTTTAAAAGGCTTTTTTGTTTTTTGGTCTGAAAGCAAAGACACACTGAATCCACTTCTAGATTGCATCCAGAATCATGGCTATTAATTTAAGTAATAGTGTGGGTTGCTTTATTTTTATTGGTTTTTATGTTTTCTTCGTTAGCTATGTTAGCTATCCACAGATAATAGTCGGCTGAACTGTATTCTTTTTCACCTCTGCCACTGGCAGCTAAGCATCAAACTGGTTGTTTTGCTTGCTTTGTTTCTCAAGAACTTTGCTTCCAGGTTTCAGCTGAGATTTGTTACATTATACCCTACTAGGTGTTGACACTCTAATGAAATTCCATAGTATAAAAAGCAAGTGGAACTATTTGTGTTGAAGCGAAAAACTGATCAGGTGTCTTTTAAGCCACCTCTTGACAATGCAGCTTTTTTAGAGACAAATACGTTACTTTACTGTGGGCTTTGTTAGTTCTTCATGCTGGACTGGAGCTGTGGCCTGCTCTTCCCATACTGCTCTATCATCAATCTCATTTTTCCCGTAGGATGAGCCCAGCTCTGGGATGGATCCTTGCTCTAAACGCTACCTTTGGAAAACCATCCTAAAGGAAGTTCAGGATGGCTGTGCAGCTGTGCTGACATCCCACAGGTAAGGCCCTTATCCCAGCAGCCAGCATATTCCTGTTCTCTCTCCTCACCTGCTGTCAGCTGAGGGAGAACGTATTCTGAAGGCACGCTTACCCTGATGTGAAATGTAGAATATATCTCCATATTTTATGGCAGTTCCTTCCTGCTTGGGAAACTAAACTTGCATAAATCTTAAATATTTTCTATATTTGCTTTTCAAGAATTAGAATGTGGTTCAGGGGGACTGCAGGCACAGATAAAATGATGCAATGAATTGCTCCTTTTCTCTGCTCTTTCTATGTAGTGTTAACAGTGTCTCTTCTCGTTTGGAACACCATTTGCAGCTGCCCACTTTGTCAAACCTAACAAAGGGAGGTGGGGGTGAAAAACCTTCTTCTGATTTTATTAAGGATTCTGTTTTGCATCAGTGTATGAAAAAACTATGCCATGACATCCTAAAGACAGATGTCTCAGCTATTCTTTGTGCACTACTGGAAATGGTAGGAGTGGCCATGTCCTCTTAGAAGAGTCTATCTACATTCAATATCTTGTCAATTCTCTGATATGGTCTTTAGTGTATAAATTTAATGCAGGAAGCATCCGTACTGTTTTATAACAGCTATAGTAAAATGGAATAAATTAAATATTCCTTTAGGGAATATAGTATAGTATGTATAATTATATATAAAATGTCTTAAGTGGGAGAGAGATCATGAAAATATGTTCAGAGAGGACGGAACTCTTTAATCAAAACAGCAATGTAACATTTTGGCAAAATGAGATTTGAAGCATAGATGAATCAATAAAAGAATGCAGCAAACCTTCCCTCAATATTTTCTAGATACTGTTACATTTTTTCCAGATGTTCTCAAAATGTATTTGTTGTCCCTGTACACGTGTGCGCTACAGTACTGAGGGAAAAATGCTCTCAAAAGTTTCTAGTATCCTGTTCATGGAAGCTGAATCTTGAAAATCACATATCTATATTTCACCCCCAGGTGCTTAACCAGACTTCTCATTTAGGGAAAGCAAGTTATGTATGGTGAGCTAAGTTCAGGAAACAGTGTGCTTTGACTTTTCAGTCTAGATTAGAACGCTTAGTAGTCCAACACCAGCTAAACAGAAGGGAGCTGTCCTCTCATTATTAATATGCTGTAAATGAAAAAAATAAAACAAAAACCACAAACAAACAAAAAAACCCCAACAAAACCAACCAACCAAAAATCCGTCAAATCATTACTAATTACTTGGTTAGCTCCACAAAGGAATGACTGGAAGCCGCTATAAGTACAGTGATAGTGCACACATTTCATTTCTAATTAATAAGACATTGTTGTGCCAGGGTGGAGGAAGGAGAATGATTTTACATTATTTATACTATTTGCTGAAGGCCTTTGAAATTCTTTCAAAGGCTACTTGTATAAGTACAGAGTTTTTCTTACGAAGTGAGTCTTCATGCATATCAGCAAATAAGTGCATAAGGTATTGAGATGATTTCCCATGTAAAAATTAGTTTTTGAGGTTTGTTTACTTAATTTTCAGAGATTGTTTAACTTTTTAAACTCTGTAAACAATGTTTAACTTTTGTTTTGAGGGAGGAAGGAGTGCAATTAACTGTCCATACAGGCCTAAATTTATCTTATTTTGCCACAACTGGGGAGTGTTATGCCAAGGGGGAGCATTAGGAGTTACTCAGACTCAGCTAACTTCCACATTTTTGGAAAGACATGTTAGCAAGCCTTCCCCCCATCTCTCTCAAATATAGCAGTTTGGCAATTCTCACCATATCCCTGTCCTATTTTAAGGACATTTTTCCCAAGAGAGTAGTTAATTGCCATGCTTGTTCAGTAAAAGCACTTTAATTTGGATTGTCACAGGGCTGAGGCACACAAGACAACTCTTGTTTATCTGTCTTAGAAGTGTTGGGGAACGCTTACAGTGAATTGCAGGAGATCAAATAACTTTGGCTCTTTGAGATGATGAGTATTGTCCTGACTGACGTCCTGTGTCTAAAGTGCTGCTTTGGAAGAACTGCTTACACAATTCTGTATATTCTGTAGAATGACAGCCCATCTACCTTAAGCTTTAGAAGCTTAAGGTAGTCAAAGTTATTACTTATCATTTGAAGCAGTTGCATCTACCAGGATCCTGCTTTTCTGTTCAGCTGCATTTCTGTGTCCTAAATTCTGTTTGGATTGTAGTGTTTTGCTGCTGCTTCTATCCTGCAATCAGACTAAGGGTAACTACTTTTTAAAGGTATGTACTATGCAAGAGGCAAGCTGAACAAATTTTATTCTTCTCTCTCTTTCCTTTAGAATGACCGCAAAGAAGTTTTACAAGGAGTAACAGAGTTCAGAGCTCACAAACTCAGTGGCATTTCTGAGGCTACCTATCAGAAATTCCCCTGTGGTTATAAAACTTTTGTGTTGTGGCCAGAATTGTCCAATTAGTTCTGGACTAAAAACATAAATTCCATTTTAGGGCTCTCTTCTAGCTGTCATGTGGTAATAACTTTTAGTATGTACTGACTAGGGTTACAATTTGGACTATTGCCTTCAAAGTCAAAGGTTTGTGTACCCATTTTTGCAGCTGTCCAGATTCCTTCCACTTTAATTAAAGTTAGGTATAAATAATGTTCTCTGTTTTCACTATTATTCTTTCAATCTTTCCCTCCCCCACCCCCGCTTTATTTTTCAGTATGGAAGAATGTGAAGCCCTCTGCACACGACTTGCTATTATGGTCAATGGAAGCTTCAAGTGTCTTGGTTCTCCCCAGCACATTAAAAACAGGTATTATATGTCAACATCAAACCTTTTGCAGCTACATGCAATCTAAGAGCTGGCTAGACACTTTAATAGTGCCAAGGCATAAATACTTATGACTGCTAAGCACATCTTTTCCAGCCATCAGTGAAGTTAAAAAAAGAGCCAATTAGGATATCTTAGCAAGCTAAATTGACATATGGCATTGCTAAAATGCTTTGTAGTCTGCACTGGTAATTGAAAGAGACAGATCTGTATCTAAAATGAAGCACTTTTGTACTCAACCTGAGAAATACATTGTGAGAATTCAACATGTTGAGATGAAATACACTTTGGTTCCTTGTGAGGGTTTCTAATAACAGGAAGAAGCACTTTTAGCAGGTCAGCAGCCAGAAAGACAATGTATTTTGAACCATCTCTGCTTCCTACTCAATTCACTGGCAATTACGGATATTTACGCTGAATTCTGCATCCTTTTCCTAGTGTGCATGAGCCACTCTTCTGCTTCGACTCTGCTTGTGAATTAATTTAATATCTGTTAATGAAGATGTTTTTTTTAGATGATAGGCTCAAACCACCATAAAGGAAACAGGATCAGAAACTAAAAAGAAAGTTGCTGCAACTTATAGCTAAAATATTTGCATTCAGCAATAAGCAAAATTTTTATGGTACCCAGACAGTCAGCTGTGTAAAATGATACAGCTCATTTGCAAGCAGCAAAGCTACACTGCTTTGTACTAGCTCAGCATTTGGCACTCCTAAGTGCAGATACATTTGACAATGTAAACAAGCTCTACAGAAATATTTTGGAATTGCTGTCTGCCATGGTTATTGGACAGGAGTTATCTGTGTCTCTGATAACTTCTTGTCCCTTGAGGGTTTTCACTCCTTCCCTTTGGGTAGGACTGTAGGCCCCGGAGACATATTTCACAGCTACGTTAGCATGACAGGCCTGATTCACATTTACTTTACAAAAAGCTCTTTCCCTTCAAGGTTTTTTTCATCAAGACAAAATTCGAGCTAGAGACCTTAAAAACTGGATGGTGGGAAAAAAAAAAGAGTTCTGATTGTTTTGTGTGTTCCTAGCTCCCTTTTCACATTTGTGTACCTTTCAGAAAATAGTTGCCTCAATTTCTAGAGGCATGAGAAGTCAATTGCTCTTCAGCAGTTTCTGCTTCCTTCGTATCTAGCTCTCTGCCTTTGCCATCCTGTCTCTTATTCCCAAATTTCACAGGACACAGTGGCTGTTTGTCCCACTAGCTGGAGTCCTTTAGCAGGAGTGTGGGCACCCTGTATTTCTTTGGTAGTAAGCGAGACCGATGTCTGCAGAGGAGAATGCAGACCTTGGGAAGGCAAAACTGCTTTTAAAAGGTGTTTGTATCCTCTAATAAGGAAAAACGGTCTTACTTAAGCACTTCAGTTGAGTGCATAAAGTTAGCTGGGATAAATGTGTCTCTCGCCTTTTTATGTTCAGATCCTCTGGAGTGAGTTCATGTCTCTGTCTTCTAAGCTTGACCTTGAGACAGCAAAATCAGGCATTCCACAAAGGCTAGCTTCACCTTTTTCCCAGTGACTTTGTCATTGCTTTGTCACTCTGATGTTCCCTTTAGTAGCATCTTTTCATCCACCTTCTTAGGAAGCAAGACATCATAAGCATATTCATAAGTATGCACCATATTCATATGAATAGGAGAGTTATTTCTCAATTTGCTGTACTATCTCTGTAGATATAGCTCTTTCAGATCACAGTAATCAAATCAACACAGAAGAATAGACTATATAACCTGCTGGAAGTATCTTCACATTAATTCTGAGGATATCAAGACATTCACAGATCAGCCATTCAAGAATCAACGCTGTATGAGCACCTCTTATAAATTCTTCAAAGCAAGGTCATGATAAGAATTCTTGGCAGTAATATTTGTAGCATGATTTGTTTAAAATAATTCTAACTTTTAAAAAAGCACACGTTCTCTATGTTAAGAATATTTCCTGTTGTCATCAGATTTATGTTCCTTGTTTTGCTATGACAGTTCTTTAATGTATGTCAGTGGCATTCATGTGGGATAGCTGACACTTTCCATAGAAACTGTGTAGCTGAAGCTGCACTATGATTTTTTCGTTTAAAGCAGGACTAAAATCCCCTTAACTCCTAGCTTAACAATTGATTTAGTCTCCAAATTTTCCACGCTTACTGTTCAGGAACCTATTGAATTTTTCTAAAACTTTAGAACCTTTTATTAGGAAAAAATAGTCACTAGCTTTATCAAAGGATTTAATTAAGATCATGCAGTTGTCTGATTTGCTCTGACTGCCTAATTCATTTTCTTGGCTTCTGGGAGCAAAGCCACTGTAGAGAGCACAGTCTTAAAGCCTCATATACACACAGCTGTTAAAGCTTGCTCTTTTTTTTTTTTTTTTCTTTCTTTAATTAAGAACACAGTAAAGAAATTTCCATGCTTCCTTTGGAAAACTTTTGATAAGTGCTGGGGAGAAGCCAAAGACTGTCCCTGTACTCCTATTATTTTTTTGCTTACTCTAGCTTCCAAACTTCCCTGCAGACAGTTGCCAATACAGTGGTCCATCATAAACCCCAGGCTGTCACACACCTAATAAGTAAAGTAAGTGTTAGGAGATAAAGAAACCCAGTGCCTCTGTGTAACTCATGTTCCAAACTGCTTTGAAGACAATTCCCAGGTACGCTACCATGTACCTTATAAAGGACTTCTACATCTGCATGGGATGGGAAAGGAGAAGAGAAGCAGGATTGTTTTACTTATTACTCCAAAGAAAACCACCAAAATAATTAAGCATTAAATTAGTTTAATCTTACATTTTCTCACTTTCCACTCCACCTGTGAACATCCCGAAAAACTTCCAGGACCCGAAGGAGTATTGAGTTGCTCTTTCCTTCCCATTTTCCTTCCCTCCCTATGATTTAATAGCCCTATAATTCTCACTGCCATACAGAGCCAAATGTTGCTCCTTCTAAAGTGACAGACTGTGAGGATTTCTAAATCTATTAGGAAACACCTACTGGCAGAACATTTTCCTTAGCAGCCACTTCCACTGCTATAGTCACTATTCTGTTCTATTTTTCGCGTCTTCCTGCAATTAGCAGGCACCTGTTGAGCCTACTGCTACATCTTACAGTAAAATCCCATCACCTTAGATTTTGTTTAACAAAACTGGTCCATGAAGCAATGTAAGTGAAGGAAAGCATAAGCAAAACTGAGTTTGCTGCATCTGTTCTAATCTAAATCACTCCTACTATAAAAATTGTTTTTTGATGGTGCTTCTGTGTTCAATGTATGTGAATGAATTATGCTAGTAACATACATATTAGCAGGCAAGAATGGTATTAAAATAAATTACTGGGGCCCATAGCTGTACATTATCATGTTTTTTTTCTGTAAGATTTTACAGTGCTTTCTTTTTTCAATTTGCTCTTATTTATAAGCAGCTTTTGATATCCTTTAGTTTGTCTTCATTTTGTTTCTACAAATGAAATTGAACAAATATTTTAAAATCAAGTACAAGTGGCCTGATTGAGTTTTGAAGATTGGAAGAAGGAAAGAAATCTAAGCTGTATAAAAACTTAAACCAAATAAACTTTCATACAGCTTTTATTTATGATAGAATGACTCCCATACTGTAAAAAATAACAGAAGGAACACATTTTGATATTACCTGCCATTACACTAGCATGTCTCAAGAATTTTTCTCCTCTTTTAAATACAGCTATGTCCACTGAAATTACATTTTTTTTCTTCCCTTTCTGGGGACTCTGTCTGTCTTGATGGAAACCCCCAAAATTGTTTTATTTATATTTCTTTTTGTACCATTCTAGGCTGTAAAGTCTAGATTATGATCACCTTTTTGATGGATGGCTTAATGGGTCTTCCTTGGGGCACTGTTAAATTTGCTTCTTTGCTGTGGTGGGAAGCTTCAAGGATTCTGCTTTCTCTCTCACTGCACTTTCAGCCCTTGGCAGATGTGAAAGACTATAATTTTGGACCGAATACAGCTTTGTCAGATGGCGGTACAAAATTCTGCTATGAAGGGTATGGGTGAACTCCAGGAAGATGATAATGTGAAACATAAAAGCTTCATAGGGATATAAAAAGTGACACATGCTGCTTCTAATGTGTGAGACTTGATTCCTTTTTCCAGCTCTTGTGCAAGCCTGTTACAAAATGCTCATCCAAAAGGGTCCTCTCGCTACAAATGTAGGTGTTTGGGCTTCTGCTCCCAGCTGTTGGCTCCTAACTTTATTTATTTACGTTTAAAGGGCTTTAAAGTAACCTCAGATGTTTCTCAGTAGAATGGTAAGAGTTGGACTTCTTTAGAAAGGCATTTTGTTGTAGGTGGCAAATTTCTGAATGGTGTCTAGAAGGGTGTCAGCTGTAAAGAACAAACTGAAGTGCAATTTCCAAAAAGTTAGCATCTTAGGTTCTATAAATGTAGTTTGTATGAGATAGATGTGTTAGCAGTTGTGCCTGTTAAAATCTAATTTCAGACAACTCCTGCCAACTGAGTCAATTACTCTAAATTGTGAATGGATTACATTTTAATGCTCTCTCCAGTATTCTCCATTATACTTAATGTTTTTTTAAACATTCACAGAAGCATTTCCATGTTAGATACAGCTGGCCAGTCCTCTGGGAACAAGATTTTGAATGCTATCCTTCATTCTAGGGCCATCTGGACAGACTTCTCATAGCTGAAAAACTCATACCAATTTTTCAAGTGCTGGACACACATCAAGTCTTTGCTCAAATTTTATCAGCAAGCCATCTGATTAAATTACACAACAATTAATCCATTTGTTATAGCAGAGTTAGAATGGAAAATGTGTTGGCAAACTATTTGCACTTTATCTTTTTTTTAAAGGTTGATTGAGAATATTTTATTGCTTTACTGAAACTCACGCATGTAGATTTCTTAAATGGATAAGAGAGGATTAAGTTTAAAGATCTCATCAGTATTTCAGCCTTCGGTGGAAACAGTGTTATTGTACTAACAGA